CAAGAGTATAGGTTCGGCAGAGTGGATTCACTGTGAACCGGCCTGCCTGGCCCTTATGCACGACGTCACTATAACTTCCTTGTAGGGGTGTCAAAAATGGATCGTAACAACCGATGTTTTGAACCTGTCTGTAACTAACCTAGTTTTTTATACTTAAATACTCATTATGCATAAACGAACACGTACTACATATCGGATCTCGAATCACGATAAATTATCGATACCCTTCCCACCCACAATAAGCAAAGCACATAAAACGATGTCTAGCAATCGTCATTTGCTCCATTGAAACACGAAAGTCGATTGGCTGACATGGTAGTGCATTGTCGCCTCCTGACCAATGAGAACTGTTGTTACATACTTTTATTGTCAACATTCACCATTCATTATAACATTACAAAATCTACATGGACTAAGGCTTATGATATTTTTCAATAAATGCATTGTGTCATAGTAGCACTTTAAACTAAACTCTTTAATCAGGTAGATAGTACTGTACAGATAAATATGGACCTACTTTTTGGCGCAATATAAAGCAAGCCTAACCATACGACGATGACGATGTTAAAGTTTAATGGTTGAATATTGCAGGGAGGAAACTGAACATTTCGACGTGTTTAGGTTATTTATTTTGTACTAAAAATAAAAATAATTGAGCGGAGCGAGCGAAGCGAGCGAAGCTATTATACGTCGACTTTTATGCATTTCGTAATACGCAAACTCCTCCTAGACGGCTGAATCAATCGTTTTCAAATTTTGCATGGTGATAAAGACCATATCGGTGAGTGCCAACATCTATATAGCGTTAAAAAAGTCTCTCAGGAATCCGTAGAAAAATGAAACTGAAAATCACATTTTTTTAACATTAGTCTTATGGGTTGCTAGGTAACCATGTTGGCTGAATTAAATAACAAGTAAAAAGTAAACAAAAGATTTGAAGTTTTAGCATGTGCTCATAATAAGCCAACTACCCACAGTATACTAGGAAATTACAAATACAGTACAAAAGGAAAAACATCACTTGTTAATATTGAGCAAAGATTATACTTAAGATTACTCGATACATTGTAGTCAAGGGTAGCAGTGCGAAGTCTAGGATCTGTTTATGACGAATACATTAAGGTATCTGCAATCCTAAAATGCTATGGGAAGGGAAGGAAACAGGTCCGTGACGTAGGAAGTAGTGAAGGAAGTAGTATAGGCAATCATAAAATGCTATGGGAATAGAGGGAAACAGGTCCGTGACGTAGGAAGTGATGAAGGAAGTAGTAAATGCGAGCAGTCCGGAGTGTGGGGACTGTTTATGACGATAGGATTAGGGTATCAGCAATCCTAAAATGCTATGGGAAGGGAGGAAAACAGGTCCGCGACGTAGGAAGTGGTGAAGGAAGTAGTCAAGGCGAGTAGTCCGGAGTGTTGGAAATGTTTATGACAATTAGATTAAGGTATCAGCAAACCTAAAATGCTACGGGAAGGGAGGAAAACAGGTCCGCGACGTAGGAAGTGATGAAGGAAGTAGTCAAGGTGAGCTGTCCGGAGTGTGGGGACTGTTTATGACGATTAGATTAAGGTATTTGCAATTCTAAAATGCTATGGAAAGGGAGGAAAATAGGTCCGCGACGTAGGAAGTGGTGAAGGAAGTAGTCTAGGCGAGTTGTCCGGAGTGTTTGAAATGTTTATGACAATTAGATTATGGTATCAGCAAACCTAAAATGCTACGGGAAGGGAGGAAAACAGGTCCGCAACGTAGGAAGTGATGAAGGAAGTAGTCAAGGTGAGCTGTCCGGAGTGTGGGAACTGTTTATGACGATTAGATTAAGGTATTTGCAATCCTAATGCTATGGGAAGGGAGGAAAACAGGTCCGCGACGTAGGAAGTGGTGAAGGAAGTAGTCAAGGCGAGGAGTAGTCCGGAGTGTGGGAACTGTTTATGACGATTAGATTAAGGTATCTGCAATCTTTAAATGCAATGGAATGGAGGGAAACAGATCCATGACGTAGGAAATTGTGTAGGATGTAGATGTGTGGATTTATGCATCTCCAATACTACGGTGCTTTCAGAGTGAACTAATGATTTTCCCAGAGCAAAGCTCGGTCCCCAGGTACTATAATCAAATGACGACACTAGCTTGAGGTTCGTGACGTATGAAGAGGTTAAGGAAGTAGTAAAGGTGAACAGTCTGGAGTATGGAAACTGTTTATGACGATTAGATTAAGGTCACAACGTTCCTAAAATGCTACGGAAAGGGAGGGAAACAGGTCCGCGATGTGGGAAGTGGCGAAGGAAGTAGTAAAGGCGAGCTGTTCGGAGTGTGGGATCTGTTTATGACGATTAGATTCAGGTATCTGCAATCTTAAAATGCTATGGGAAGAGAGGGAAACAGATCCGCGACGTAGAAACAGGTGAAAGAAGTAGTAAGGTGAGCAGTGTGGAGTGTGGGAACTGGAAACCGTTTGTAGCAGTTTTAATGTATCTGCAATGCTGAAATGCTATGAGAAGGGATGGAAGCATGCCCAAGACATAGGAAATTGTGAAAGAAGTAGTAAAGTCTAGCAGTACGGACAGTGGGGATGTTTGTTGCAATTAGATTAACGTATCTAAAATACTAAAATGCTATGGAAAGCGATGAATACAGGTCCACGACGTAAGTGGTGAAGGAAGTAGTAAAAGCTGGCAGTGCAGAGTGGGGGAACCGTTTGAGCAGATGGATAAATGAATTTGTAATACTTAAATGCTATGAGAAAGGAAGGAAACAGGCCAATGACGTAGTAAATGGTGAAGGAAGTAGTAAGGCTAACAGCGCAGAGTGTGGGAACTGTCTTTGGCAATTAAATTAATGTATCTGCAATCCTAAAATGCTATGGGAAGAGAGGGAAACAGGTCCACGACGTAGGGTGTGGTGAAGGAAGTAGTAAAGGTGAGCAGTGTTGAGTTTGGGAATGGATTAATGTATCTGCAATGCTAAAATGCTACGGGAAGAGACTGTAGACTGTAATATGTTAAAATGATTACGAAGCACAAATCGATACATATTTTCGATACATGCAATCGTTTACAATCGAAATTTACAACTGAGTTGACAACAGCTGATTTTTACTCCATAGAGGCTAAAAACGATTTTTACTCCCTAAATATTAAAAATGCTACTTTAGACCCGCAGCGCATGCATGAAAAAATACTGTTTTTACTGCAGTAAGACAAAAACAATATAATATGAACCCTTGATGACTCCGCTCAATTTTGTGGATGCCTCTGCGAACGCCACCTAGTACATCTAAATGTCTGACTTATTGATACAGACATTGTTTAGTATAATTAATTTCGTGTTGGCAGGACATTCGCGCGCCGGTTGTCTCATGAGTTGAGTCTGACATCTTGAAATGTAGATTGTGTTGTGCAATGAGCTGAAGCTAAACAATGTCACCGGCACCGTCGCTGTTTTGAACTAGATAGTTTCTATGTTGGCTATGAAAATTGTTAACCGTGATTACAAAACTAATCGTGATTACAAAACTAATACTGTAGCTATAAAGTTAATAAATGTTAAAAAAATATTTATCCCTGTCGGGTGTCCGGTGTTATCGGAATCGACTTTTGACAATCGAGTCTTGGTACCGAACCGATACCAATGTCCAAGTGGTAACCAATGGATGGTGGTATCGATGACGATAATCGATACATCCCTTTTTAGAATCGAATTGAAATTTCAATACATCGCACTCGCTGCACAGTGCACACCACTACCTATCACTATCACCATCACCCAGTGTCAGCTGTCGCTGTCAGTGAAATGGATGACGCAAGCGATGCCTAGGTTGCCGATTATTATTAGGCCTAGTATGTCAATAATGAAAGGGGTTGAGGGATTAAATAAAACTCAAACATTTTCCTTTCTTATTATTTACTTGTCAAACATCAACGAAATCGGCTTTAACCTCTACTCGACTCGAGTTGCGAGTATATTTAACTAAGTGCTTCCGGCGACCGGCGGCGTCGGCTTCCCGCGTAGGCCTATTCATGGTGGTAGGTAGTGTACATCTAACTTACCTTCTGCTTCTTCCGAACCATCGCCACTCGCCAGTAAACCGTAAATTTTGGTTTACTATAAAATCAATCAAGAAAGTATTGCAAAACGGTTTATAACTATTAAAATTACTTGAAAAAAAACTGTATTAACGATATCAATTAAATTCACGGAATAATACGATTTTCACGCATATTTCCCGGTTTTTTCACGGCTGTTAAAATTTACGCATAGTTCCCGATTTTCCCGGAATTCCCAGCCGCTGACAACCCTGAGTGCAACACTATAATATTGTGGTATAATTACCTCGTCAAGTAATCCAAATGATTTGATGTTAGGTTAAAAACCGACATGTTTCACCGTTAATACGGCATCGTCAGGGTACAAACACAATAAATAAATAACACAATCAGTGCAACAGTTCGATTTCAGAGGTAGGGTAGCCAACCAAAGACTCAAAAAATCCTCCTAACCTCAATTTGAGATAATGACCCCAACCCTCTTAGCTAGTGTTTAAGTAGTTTTCCTGAAAGTTTTAAGTTTTGTGTGAATACAGAACATTTGTTGTGTGTGTGTTTTTTATAGTGCAGTAACATAATATCTAGGCTTTTTTCGGTGGTTACAGTTGGCAACTCTGAAGATCACTCTAGTTTTAAACTTTAACCTGGCAATACTCTTCAACCTACTCTCTACAGAAGTCCTACATCAGAACTAAATATCATTGCCATGTTTGTATTAATATATTGTTATCTATTAGATCCTGGATTCTAATTTTATCAGGTAAGCTAAGTGAACTTTATTCCTTTATAATACAAAAAATCCCTTACTGTATTAAATTATAAGACTTTTGATTTGCTTACTACAGTATTAAACATAAGCTTATTATTAATATCAATTTTACTGTTGGTTTTGCAAAGTTTTACACAAGGGCTTCTACAGTTTAGGATTTCACAAAATTGTTTTTATTCTAATTTACCTTTAGACTTTTTTGAATTTCCTCGCTTTGTTTTCCCTTCCTCTTCATCCAAATCTCCGTCCTCGTCATTCCTCAACCGTTTCCGCAACATCAGAGAAAAGTAGTTAATCACCTTGTTTCGCCTGAAAAAAAATCTGTAGGTAAACACTAATCTATTAACACTAAGAAAAACCACATTAAAGTACTGTACTACTGTACTAGACAATTACTAGATTATTAGATGTTATATTGGTAAATTCTAGATATTAGATAATATTTTAAAGGAATGCTGAGTGGCAGTAAGTTTGTTTTTAAGAGGTTAGTTTTTTTATATGGTGGCAACAGTTGGCAACATTGAAGACTGTGCCAGTTTAAAATTTTAACTGACATTTCTCTTCAATCTACCCTCCAAGAAGTCATATATTAGGTCAAATATTAGTGTTATGTTATATGATCTGTTAGCCTCTGGACCCTACCGAGTTAAACTAGATGAACTATCCTCTTTTTCAAAACAATTCCTAGATTTTGTATGTGTTGTCTTTGATTGTAACTTAACAAAACTAGCAATAGTTACACTTATTGCAGAGAGGTAAGGTACAAAGGAAACATTCAATGTTAAGTGGTGTCTAGCACTAGTCGCTGGTGTCTAGGGCAAAGTCTAACACCTCTCCCTTGCACTCAAGCACTGCAATGCTCACGGTGGAGGAAGACGCTGTACACTGTGCAATAGGAATTTCCACACCGCCACTCTGGCTCTTCCTTATATATTTCCCGCACAACATACTACAGCTGAAAGCGCATGGTCGTCCCATACATGTTTTCCTCTGCACCTTACTTCTCTGTACACTTATTAAATTATATTTAAAGCATTATCGATCTTAACACAATTACCTTCCAAACTCTTGTTCAGCCTCCTCTGCCGAGAGTGACTTGTACCTGTTGATGGGTTGGAAGTTGTACCATTCACACAGAGGGTAGGCGTCGATGGCTCCGTCTGCAGCGTGCGTGAACACATAGTAAGCTGCGTTCTCCCCCACTCCACCTTCACGGATACCTTTGAATCTGGAAACAACAGATCAGTGTTTGTATGACTAAATGGGCTAACTGTATATATTATTTTTTACATAGACGTTAGATTTAGATTTTTGTTATGTGAAAAAAGCATAGGTACTCAATAGAACCAGAGTCATCAACAAAATACAGTATATCAAATAGAAAATTATACATTTAACCAACAGAGTGATATCAATAAGTTATATATCAATACAATTACAATGTCGCGTATACAAATCACAACATATCATTGTTCAATGTGTAAAATGTAGCAGAGTAAATTACAGTGTTCACCTTCAACTTAAATATTGGTTGCTGGATCAATCCCAATCCGGGCTTGAACCCTAAAGTCTCTTGTCATTAGGCTATGAATTAATGATGCTATCTAACAAAAGGTTGACATTGAATGGTAAACAAAAAAAGCCAATAATGTTAACGCAAAAATCAGGTTACTTTTAATTACAATTGGTTCCTCCAGAAATTGTATAAGGTTAAAGAAATGCTTTATGTTTAACAGAAAGGTACAACCTAAACAAATTTTAGATTAAACCTTGGACAGTTAATACACTTAGGCATCCCATCCCCATATCCCCATGTTAAAGTTGTCGGTAGTTTTTAAATCAAAATTGTCGTAGTTTCTGTAAATCACAGATTGCGCTAGGGGTCTGCGGTGCACCGAAAAAGTCGGTACGGTACGGTACAAGCTTAATTACCGTCATCGGTTCGGTACAGCATTTTACACGGTACAAATTCGGTTCGGTACAGCCTATTATAATAATAAATTACTTTCAGTTTACTATCGTAGTCAACGGCAGTTTGTTCCGAGCACATAAAAGTCTTATCAGATGTTTGTTTACGATCTTCATAATTTATTACTAGCGTGATGATGCAATATAAAACCCATAAGCAGTCCCAAATCCATTAACATTTTATCACGACAATAATTGTTGTATTGAAGTATTCCAAGAACTGTTGAGTTTTATCACTTTTATTTCTTTACGACTTTCCCCAATTCTGTTTTATCATAAAAATAATAGTTTTATGATGATTGTTAATGTTATCTCTAACTTAATCAGTATTTTCGTGAATATTGAATTTGCCGCTGGCCATTGCCTACTGCCATAAAACTGTTTATGGCTACATATTAAACTTGTAACAAATCTACAATCTTATTTTATAAATTAAATATTTGTTATGGATATTTTATCTTTCTATTGACGACCATGGATATATACAAACTTTTGTCGTAATTTTAATTTCAACATCAAAATACAATATTGCACAATCGTGATATTTTAGGGCATTGACCTTTATTATGCATCCGGTATTGCTGTTTCAGAAGAGAAGCACGTTGATAAATTATAAATTGATATTCCCGTAGTTAAAAAGAATATTTTATAAACCTATAAAACAAAATCATAAAATCTTACATAAAGATAACAATAACGGAAATTGTAAAAAGGGTATAAAGATAACAACGTCATTCTTTCTCTTTGTTCTTCTATTTCTTGGGTTTCCCTTCATCACGCATTCAACAAGTTGCCATGGTTACTAATCACCCATGTCGTTATCAGCTTTTGTGACATAGCGCACAGCAGGGGGTAAAACTTGACGAAAATCGGTAAATTTTTACCTATTATTTAATTACCAATGAATGTACGGTACTACTTTATTGGTATTTGGTATTGTATTAATAATCGGTCCAAATGGCAGATTTTTGTCAAATTTTACACCAAATTTATTGAAATTTCAAGGTGAATATTAATAAAACAATTATTACCAAATATTTGTATTCATTTAAAAGATTGATTTGTGGTATTGGGTTCCCCACTGAGTGCAGCCGAGCGGCACTAATGAGGGTCGGACCTTCTTGGGGGTGAACAATAGACGGCTTATCAGACCCTCCCCTCCCCCGTGGTCTGGAGAAAGCATGTAAACAAACTATTGCACAAGCGTGCGTGACTTGACATTGAGCTGCTTCAACTATAATTTTGTCAAATGAACTGTGATGTTTCAAAATCAAAAACAATAATTTGGGACCATACTGCTTAACAATAATGGACTGCAATTATTGTTGAACATACAATCCATTTTTAACAAACTAAGATTATACGATTCAAATACAATTATAAAAATTATCTTGGTATTTTACTTGGGGTAATGAAGTTATGTAGGCTAGTGTAATTCTCGGTTCATCAAGGTTCTACTGAATTATGTTTGGCAGTGAATAAGTGTAGAATGCAATTTATAAATTCAGGGATACACACCTTTTACACAGTTATAAAGTCTAATTGCCCAACATCAAATCTTACTCTGTGATAATCCAAATTTTAGTTTCAGAAAAAAACTTTGCAAGAATTGTATCCATCTTATAACTTAACTAGTTTTGAAGCTGATAAAAAAAAATGGTCTTTGCCATTACTTCATCATAACCTCCAGTTTTTCATTGTCATCTGCTGTGAACAGCTGGCAAAACTACACTGTCTTCTACTGAATGATTTTATATGTTTTTAAAATAAAAAATAAAACAACTAGACATTGTGTTGGTTGGAAATCATTTATCAGTTTTGTGAAATTATCTTGTCAATAAATGTTTCAAACATGTTTATTCATAAAAACTCTCATCCTATTTTTAAACTACTTTATCATGGCTATTCAAAGTATCTCAGAGTAAAATAGGTAAAGCCTTTATCTCAACTGTGATTTTTCTTGACACAATCCTCGTAGTAGTAAAAGGTTTTGTTTTAATAATATGTGGTACAGTAATTGTTGTTAGAAAACCATGAATGTAGGATACTATCCATTTTCATAGTAATGTCTATGTATTAAAGTTAAAAATAATGGTTTGGATACAGTTCTGAGAAGAAAACCGCAAAAATACGGGTAGCCGCGTACCGTACCGATTTTGTACCGAGAACCGAGGTACAAAATATTGTACCGTACCGAACCGTACCGACCTTAAATTTTCTGTACCGCAGACCCCTAGATTGCGCTGATGCAAATTACTGTTTTCTGTTGAATACACAAACTTCAAGTCAACTGATGGAACAAGGTGAGCTAAAGCAACTGTTATGACCCATCAACTATGTCAGCAAAAAAAAAAAAAAAATAAGGTAGAAATAGAATTTTAGACATCAGCGCATTCTGTGACTGGCTCACACAACTATGTTTTTTTTTAATACAAATTTGGCAACAACTGATCCGTATAGATGGGATGTCTACTTCAGTATCCAATAGCCAATGATTAAACCCTATCCAAATAGTCAACGCAATGAGAATACTCACTTCTTTCCAGTTTTGCCTCCAGCTTTGAGTATCCATGGCTGATCTTCTGGTTTATACTTTTTGCTAACGATACCAAATTTCTTACGCCGAGCCTCTTCCTTAGCCTCTCTGCCATATTCACTACCAGCACCAAATCTGAAATGTTGAAGCATAAGTATTGGTATCTACCTAGTGTCAACAAAATCAATCAAACCCAAAGATGGCAGACAACAAGACAACAAATGAAATTAAACATTTATGTACTTTTCTGAATATTTCTAAAAGTGTTGAAGCCTTGTGATAGTTTTTAAAACGTTCAATATGGTTTTTACAGCGTTCCATAACAAAAATTAATCAAGATCTTCTCTTCTATAAAAATAAAAACTTACTAACATTTGGTCCCTGGTCTCTTCACATTTAAACAATTTTTAGCTTACTAGGATTATTTTGAAGTTCACCCTCTATATTAAAAAAGGAAAAAAATACAAATCTTACTTTGGCATGTCATCATCAGGTCTTGCAAATTCCTTTGCATTGTTCTCCCTTTCCATCTTCACTGGACCCCATTTTGCAAAGTCTACGTTGAGAACTGAGTTGAACCTCATAACGTGATGTCTCTTCCTAGAGGCCCTACAAATACTTGTACATTATAGATATTAAACGTCATCGATCAACATATTATTTAGGCTGTAAACGATATTAGATTACTTAGTATCATATTAAATAACTGTTCAATTGACTTGAACCATTGACTATATGGTTAAACATTACAGAAAACAGGTGCTCCTAAAAATGATTTGTCTAGATTTAAGTGTAACTAGTGAACCTGTGCGGCTCAATGCCCCGCAAAATAACATAGGAATTTAGAAAACAAACTCATCGTGTTATATATTGACTTGACGTCGAAAATTAAATACAGTAATAATAAAGCTTTAGAAGGAAAGCAGTCCAGTTATTTTCTAGCTGTATGTGTATTTTTTTTTTTTTTTTGTAAATTAATAAGTGCTCAAGTTCAAGTGTGTTCCTAGTTATTTTTTAAAGATTTTTAAAACACATTTAACAAAACATTTTATCATATCAAACCAATAGGCCTATGAAGCATATTTTGAAGGCCTTACAATGCTGTTTGGAGAATATACTTTTAAATATAAACACTAAAAAAACAATATTTTTATCACAAAAGCACTTCCACGAATACTACGATTTTAGTCTTAAAGTTACCTTCAGGAAGATTACCCTGGTCGGAATTCTCCGTAATGAATATGCGTATCCTATTAAAAGATGTAGCCTTACTTAAAACAACATACAATACAGTTGCTCATGACTGAAATTGATCTGGGTAAGAACAGTGCCGATCTTTAATTAAAGGGCTTGTGCTGCAAATGCCAAAGATAACATAAATTAGCATCTTTCCATTTTAAAAGGTAACTTAAGTTTGTTTCAGATGGGCACATTCTTATCCTCGAAATCAAAATATCTCCCCACTCACTTGTCCCAGTTAAGACTTTACATTCTATTAAGTTGTTAACCATTCTGATCACATGAAGCCTTGTGCCATTAATGAGGCCTTTTTGATGTATTAATATTCCACATCAATAAAACCACTGCCCCCTTTTATTAGTCTAATCTGTGTCTTGGCAATCCACTGACCTCTATATTTAAAAACTCAGTTGGATTTTCTAGATGGGTGTCTCCGCCTTCGTCCGTTTTCGAGGGCCCACTCTTCTTCCCCTTGGCATACTGACAGTTAATTACCTAACTTGTCAAGTTCATGTACTAATTCATTAATACCGTTAGTTTATAAAGAAAATTAGATAAAAGTTACTTGGCTCGGTGCTTTCATAACTGCAAACTCAAAATACACCCAGAAGTAAAAAAGACTCAAGTTATTGGTAAAAAAAAAAAACTATGTGTAACAACATTATTCACATGAAGTAGATGATTTGTTTGATTTGTCAATCAGCTGTTTTGTTTAAAATGATTTAATAATGTCAAAGATTTGTGATTTTAAATACATAAATTATTATAGTAAAGTTTTCTAAATCATGGTAACTTATTCTCAACTAAATTTTACTATTCCCAGCATTAAAATAAAGTAGGGCGTATTAAGATCCATTATGGGTAGACTTCAAGGTACACAATCCTTGATCCTTGATTGAAATGTAGTATATAATATAAATTCAAATTTATTTTAAAAAAATTGAAATCTTACTACACATTGTAGTCTGCTGTAGAACAAAGAATAATATTACATTAAATTTTGCAAGTTTGATTAAACCTAATTATGATAGTTGTTATATAGGTGGTTTCTTATAATATTAATAGAAAATTTTATGGCTGTTAAAGATATTAAATATAGCACTTGATTTTCCAACTTGAATTTCTTCCAAAATTTCTCAACTTGTTGAGGAATTGTTCCTCTTGATCCAATGAGTAGTCCATATACTTCGAATTTTGATATTTTATATTTCTCTGAATAATATGGGATAGTTTTCTTGTAAATATTTACTTTTTCTTCATGGACTTCCTGTGGCTGATTTTCATTTGTTTCAAGACGAACTGTTGGGTCTATAATGAGACCGAAATCTTTCTCCTTGTCTATAACAATGATGTCACTCCGCCTCACAGAGCCCTCTTCTTCTATAGCCGTGACCTCTTCATAGACCTCGTAACTTTTCTTTCTGAATTGATCAGCTATGATTTTTCTGATGGTATGGTGGCGGGTATTTCGTAGAAGACTACTAAATGGGCACTTTCCAAGGACGTGGGCAAGAGTTTCAAGAGTAAATTTCTCAGATACAGGACAATGCCTGCACTGGTTCCCGTCCCTGGATCTCCCATGAAGACTTCTAAGAGGAATAACATCTCCGACCATTTTCAAGTATTGTTTGAACTCAGCTTCTGTGAGGCCACAACCTCTAGCCAAATTTTTATTGATCTTGTTACATTCTTTGAAAAGAACCACCCCATTCCCTTTGTATGGAAGTTTACACCAATTTTTATACTCTAAGTCTCGTAAGGTTTCTCGCAGTATCTTGGGTTTTGATTCAATAAATTCAATACTTAAATTCAATTTTTCCAGACAAAACCTAATTTCTTCGTCAAATTGACGAATATTAAGTAAGTAGGGGTTTCCCGTTTGTTTTAATACGCGACATATGTTTATATGTTGGATTGATGATTCCCACATTGATTTACATAACCCAATCCCTTTGTTTTTAGTACTTGTATAAAACATAGAATTTGGCATATCATTTGGAAGATCTAAGATTTCCTTTGTTGTTGATCTTATCACTTTATCAACATCGTCAAAGAATTTCATTGTAATTTTCTTAATTGGTGCGGTTTGAAAAGGATATATTAAAGATGGCCAAATATTATGATTCAATACATACATTTTTTGTTCAGACCTTAAAAAAGGAGAACATGTTAATTTTTCAATTTTGTTTATCAATGAACTAATTGTTTTTTCAGAGTCAAATACTATGCTTTCAGAAAAATTTACTCCTAAGTATTTAATTTTTTCATTAAATGTTATAGATTTTATTTCATTAACAGTCATAACACACAGTAATTATTATGTAGTAGACTTTGACTATTTTCAAGTAACAAACATATGTTTCTGTAAATAAAAATCATCTCCCATGTTATCCTTATGGAGAAATATGAAACTTTAAAGGGCCCTAGGGCCTCACTCTCTAATTATTTCCTTAAAAAGAAAGTTTCCTGCACAACTTCACGTTACGCTCTTTCCAATGACACCAAAAACATGACAATCGGTTCAGTAGTTTCGGAGGAGTAATTGTCACAAAAAATCTGCTTGCGTATTAAATAAGTATAGATAATAAGCATGGTCCTATTAGGGTACATTCATGGCTTTTACAGATTTATAAACTGCCCCGCTCTTCTGTTATGGTATTTAACCATCCTAATAGGCCTATTATTTGTAATGCCTCAACATTTACCACTAAAAATTAGTACTGCAGACCAGCACCTACGATACCTAGGCCTATTGGGAATCTGGTCCTAAAAAGCTTTACTGGGTAGGCCTACAGTCTGTCTATTTATAAGGCATTGATTGTTGTGATTTTGGGTAAATGCCCAATTCTATTCAAACAAATCTTAGACCAAAACCTTCTCAAAAATATTTAATTGACAGTAAAGCAATTTAAAGTGAATAAGTCATATTTTTTTATCCAACCACAAGTCAGTCAACTTTCAAATAACTTTTTGTAAAAGAATAAGATAAAAAACTGAAGAAATAAGCTTAATTATTAGGTATTCAGTTTAAATACAAGAAGAATGGGTTTTTTTACAAGGCAGCCCTTTTTTTTCTTAAACTGTTTATATAGGTCAATAAGTTTTATCCAGCGAGCACATAATAATAATAATAATAGAGAGGACACGGCGTTTAACCAAATGCACTGAAAGTGTGGCCAAATCCGCCATCTTGGTCCGTCATTCAGCCTGAATCCAAGACCCGCGAGCACAGTTCGCATTAAAAACCCCGCGACAAATACACGATCATAAACAACATTAATAGTTGACCAAAAATTCTGAAATTTTGCACACTTGTAGATATGATACTGAGGAAAACGATGGTGTTAATATAAATGTATTAGTTATGATAGTAATTGATTTATAAATATTTGTATTACTTATGTAGTTTAATTTTTCACATTCAGACATGAAAAAGTTGTATTGCGAGGAAATTTTTTATTTTTTGGTCAGAGTAATTTCGTCAGCGGGAAAGTTGTGGATAAATAACCAAATTTAACTATCCGATTCACCAAAAATTTTTATCCTGCGTGGTTTTCTAAAAATATCAGGTACAAAAGGGGTCCATTGCCGCTGCTCCGCGCCACGCCCGCTGCCCTGCCGGGCCGTCGTCAATACATTTAGCGTGCAGTGTTTTAATGTTTTATTTATACTGTTGTACTGTAATATTGTATATATTAAAGACATTTTCAAGTACAGAAAGAATTACAATAACTTAAGATTTATAAATCTCTTATTTGATTCTAGACTCAAAAGAATTATTATTATTTTCTTCATAAATTATTCAATTATTTTTTTATAAATAATTTACTTCGTAACGTGTAACACTACTTAAATTAAGACCAGCTTTAATTTCTATTATAGTTTACTCTTTTTTTTATCCGTCCAGAGTACATGCTGGTTATTGTTATTTTAATTTATCATTAAAATAGAGTAATTATGTTTGTGTTTATTGGTAATCCGGAGGCTAACATCAACCTAAACGATTCTTAAACCATTACTTTGGAAATAGCCAAGTAAACTCTGATTAAACGAATTTGTGCTTGTCTAATCAGTTAGGAATAATTCATTATAGGAACTTGAGGGTAAAGGTTTTCATTAGATAAATTTTATGTCGGCAATAATACAGTAAAAACAATCGATTTATTACAAGATATTTCCAACAATATACTAATATGACAATGTACTTCCAGAAAAACCTAAGTAATTTTTATACAAAAGTATTTTTACATTCAAACAAAGCCTATGTAAACAACACTGACAAGAAGCATAGCAGACGACCAGCGCGATGCAGACGTCGGGACTAGGCTAGCGCCGCCATCTTTGTCCGTTTCGTCGGCTAGTCAGACTGCCACGCTCCTGCGCTCCGAGTAGCGCTTCTATTTTGTTATGTGTTCGCTGGTTTTATCAAATATTTATTTAATTTTTTTTTGTTATTTTATAATTTTAAATAAATGCCCATAAAGTTGCATGAGAATCTTTACAATAGTTTTAACCAACTACTAGTTGAATAGGTCCAAGTTACATAGAAAATTATACCAACTCCTAACTAGGCCATGTTATTAGCCTATTAAACCAGTGAGCAATTGAATGAACAAGAATAGTGCTTTTATATAGGTATTACATTAAAATGTATAGTGTAAAATAAACAGAGTAAATAATCAGGCCCTAAGTTAATTATAATATTTGCTTGTTACCATTGACTAGGTGTAGGCTATAGTAAATGTTGTTACTTACTTCGGAACCCGTATAGAGAACTCCTGTGCCGGCGTTGCTTGAGATGACTAAAACAGAAAATAAGGGCTCAATGATAGGTGCAACCCAGGGCTAGAGATATACAAGGGCTAGGCCACGCGAGCTCAGAAAGTGATGCCAGGTGGCTCCCCACCACTCCGCCGCTGTGACGTCACAGCAGTACCTCGGGCTCCTGGTACCATATATCTTAGCCTATGTGAGCGCTGGTATTGCCGCACATTTAATGTCGAATAAGCACTATGTTGGACATTTTTTATTAGGTATTACTGTATTTTATAAAAGTAATTGATTTTCAAATAGGATTACGTATAAAATCAATTTTAATAAATAAAAAAATAACTTTAGTAGATGTTTAAGGATGGGAGTAGGCTGTAAAGCGATGGCTAAGAATACTGTACTTATTGATACAATAAATTAAGTTACTAAAGGAGTGAGCCAGCCCTTGTATATCTCTAGCCCTGGGTGCATCCTGAGCTTAAAGCCTTATTTGGCCTCATTTTACAACTAAAAATCATGATTTTTCAGCTATTATTTTATTAGTTAACCTATAATAAGGTAATTATATCGATCACATACCGGTACGTCACGCTACAATAATTTTTTTCTAATTTTGTTTGCCAAATAACGTCTTGAATACAAAAATGATTGTCATTTTCCCTGGAAAAGTAGGCCTATCGTTTTCCCGGAAAAGCGGAAATATGTCATGTGGATACTCAAATTAACCAGTAGAGCAAGCTGAACAAGTAGCCTATTGCAAGAATTTTCAAGATCCGATGGATATTAACGGAGATTTGGCTGGAAAAGTGAGTTAGCGCCAAAATGACCAAAACTAGGTTAAAAGGTTATATTGGGATAGGTTAGATTACGTTGGGTTGGATTAGAGGGGTTAGGTTAGGTTAGATTTGTTAAATTGGGTTAGGTTAGGTTAAATATTACGTTGAGTTGGTCTTTAACCCTAGCGCTGGCAAACGCCGGATATACGGCGCAAACGGTCGCGGCCGAAATGGCGACGCCGGATATACGGCGCCAATGCCGGTGTTACGGTAGGCCTATAAATAATTTTTTTTTTTTTAGTTTTGTTAAATTTTTTGGGCTAGGTACTGTTGTAATAAATAAGTTAAATAATACAAACCAGAGTACCCTGGAATTATATATTGTATAAGGTGTACGGTTTTGTACATGACCTCCGGGTTGGGTGATTATTTGGTACTAGCGCGGGGGTACGATCGACATAGTAATAGAGCTATCAAACAAAATAATCTATATAACTATATAAATATTTTTGGAATCAGCACAAAATTTACCACAACTTTACAATTTACCTTATGATGCTAAGTCTTACATGCACTTAGCTAGCCTATACGACGGAATATAAAAACATTTTATAAAAAAAATAATAATGCCCACAATTTGGAAAAACTAAAAAAAAAATTTTTTGTGGTAACCATGTAAATCACCTATATTATTGTTCTTTGTCTTGTTCTGGACAAAATGATATATAACAATCCATAGTTATGTTGCTATTTCTAATTTTTATGATGGTTTAAAAATGATATTACATAATCAATAATATCCCTATGCCAGTACAGCGTTACACTATTGCCAGCTCTAGGGTTGGGACCGCGTCTCTTTGTCCCTTCGTCTCGTTGTCCCTCCGTCTACTTGTACCTCGAGGCCTAGGGACAACTAGTCGTAGGTACAACTAGACGTAGGTACAAGTAGACGGTGGCTCACCCGACTAGTTGTACCTGTAGATTTTTAGGAGGTACAACTAGACGTAGGTACAAGTAGACGTAGGTACAACTAGACGTGTATCCCACCGACAAGTAGTATCACCTAGCTTGTACGGATGCGACCAGTTGTCCCTACGACTAGTAGTCCCTACGACTAGTAGTCTCTACGACTAGTGGTCCCTCCGTCTAGTAGTCCCTACGTCTAGTTGTACCTACGCGTATTTTGCGTCCTTATAGTCTAGTTGTATCTATCCTTCAATTCGTTACCCTGTTTAATTGATTACTGCACGAGTACTTTTTAATAATACCCTTAATTAAATCAGGAACTGCAGTGTTTCGAGTCGATTGAGTATGATTGGCAAATATTTTTCACCGCAATACGATGTTTTAACGTTTGCATACTTTGTAATTTAAAGCAAAACTAAGTCCAAGTATAGATATTTTTGGTGTGGAACCATAAGAAGGCTAAATTAAATTATTTGTAATAATCAAGCGATCTGTTAACCATTCCATCCGTTTGGATTTGTTTCCGAGTTGTACATTAATTTCTTATGAAATTAGTATTCAGAACTTTGAAATGTTAACTTTAAATAAGGGACCGAGCATCATGCCAGATTAGATTGGATTAATTGGATTCATAATATTAGGTATTTCGATTGCAAAGCAATATAAAGGAAACTCACGTTAAATTCACAAATTTTGGCGGTTATTAGTTAAGTTTCAATGGAATTTCAATTTATGATTATGAACAATTTTAACATGGCAACCATAACACATTAATTTATTTACTGCAACACATAAGATTAGTTTTACTAAGAACTAATAAGCGCGCGCAAAAAAAGTCATATCTGGGTTATTTTTTTAAATGGTATTTCAATACTGAGCTTTAATTACGTTTGCATAGAAGGTAATTGAGATGTTTTTTTTTAGAAAAGTTAGTAGTTAAGTGTGAAATAAACTAATTTGTCAAAGTATATGCATCAACTACCAAACTACGCCAGTTTACGTAATATACATAAGAATAACATATAAATTTTTAATTTGAACTTGTTGTAATATTCTCTGTGACTAATACCGTACAAAAACACTTTATTACTCAATTACTTGTTTTTGTAAACTCTGAATTTATTTATTTAAGATAATTGTTTAAAGTTGTTGTTTAAGCTAGTTAATGTTAGTTTTCTATAGAAAGGTAGAGTTTAAGTGGAAAAAACAATGATAGCAGATCTTGACAAGAAATAAGGAAAACCAAAGTGTAACATGGATAAGGACTGACCAAGGGACACAAGTACGTTGTTGTCAAGAACAGGGGTTTCTCAATGAGCTGCAGACAAGCCAAATTTTCCTGGCTTTGGAGCAAGTTGTTTATAATAAATTGTTGTAAGATTGTATGATTTTTAAAGGAATAAAAAAAATCTCTTAAACCGGTGACAAGTTGAAGGGGAGATACAACTAGCCGCAGGTACAACTAGACGTAGGTACAAGTAGGCGTAGGTACAACTAGTCGTAGGTACAAGTAGTCGTAGGTACAAGTAGTCGTAGGTACAAGTAGTCGTAGGTACAAGTAGACGCAGACGTATGAGGTACAAGTAGACGCAGACGTATGAGGTACAAATAGACGGTGACGTTCCCGACTAGTTGTACCTGTAGATTTTTAAGAGGTACAACTAGACGTAGAGACAACTAGACGTAGAGACAACTAGACGTAGAGACAACTAGACGTCCGCACCATCGTCAAGTTGTCTCTACAGCTTTGGACGGGGTACAACTAGACGCCTGTCACCAAAATGCAGCAGGTACAACTAGACGCCGGTACAAGTAGACATCGCCCCCTAGGGTTAAAAAAAATAGGTGGGATTAGGTTCGGTTATGTTAGGTAAGGTTACTAACAATACCCATTTTATTGATAACCTATCCTAACCCAGCCTTAATTCTAACCTAACCCAACCTAATCTAACTTTATCCATATTAACCTAACCTAGTTTTGGTCAATTTGGCTCTCGATTTTCCGACGCTTTTCCGGCCTCTCTGTTTCCGGAGGAGGAGGAGGTATCTTTATATTTATATCCATCTTGAAAGACTTACGTCACAAACATCTTCCATCCTTGGCTCATCTCTGAGAAGGTAACATTTCCTGTGCACTGATGTTTATTGACGGTCACACCTCACATATCATTAATCCAAAGTCATCGCACCTAGGGCCTAACTTATTTACAGCCTTTGGATGTGGCTGTATTTAAACCCCTAAGGGACGTATGAAAAAAACTGTAAACCAGTGGCGTAAACTAGTTTCAACTTAACCTAACTTCGGTAATGGTTACTTAAGTTAGCGTCTCGGACTTCAATGACAGAAGTAGCCTAGGCCTAGGTCAATTAACCTAAGTTGTAACCGGTCTAAACCAACGAGCACATAATATAGAGAGGACACGCTTCTAAAGCGATGTACACCGGAGTGTCGCCAGTCCAGAGCGCCGCGACCCAGCCAAGATGGCGGTCGAAAGCATGAATCACCACACTAGCGAGCGTCGAACTACGCGGTGGTGCAATCCGACAATCCACTGTAACGCACAAACAGACATGCAGTATTTGTTGTAAATCTTATATTTTTAAACAATTATAGCCGTAGTAAGGTATAATCTGTAGAGTTGAATGATGATAGTTGACATATTTTGGATTGATTTCGTTTTATTTAGTTATTTAGCTTAGTTTCAACAGTGAATTATTTAAGTTAAGATAAACTAATGCCGCAAAATTGTGGTTTTTAGGAAACCAAACTTGTTTTTTAGGAATAACATCAATATAGACGGCAGAAATATTCCCAACGACATAAATGTACTAAAGAAAATGACCACTACTGTTATGGTACAGTTTATAGGGATGCCACTTTTTTCTGGGGACCATTGTTTTCAAAAAGAAGTCGACCAAAATCACCACAGTTTACTACTCAAAAATATATGCAAGAAATATTTTACTGCAAGATTAGGCTACATCATTTTGAGGAATTTAATGATGAGATCCATACAAGGAATCTCAATGATCCCTATCGCTCAGGGTGGTATGGGAAAGAGAGTCGTGCTGTTAGGCTTTTGGACACATAATGTGTATGGACGAGGATTGAAAGTGGCTGAAGCCAAAAAAGAAAGAAGGTTTTCACGGGGAATAAGTCCCAGACTTAACCAGGAGTGGTGGTGGGAACGAGGAGTTTCCTACAAACATTTACTGACTTGGTTGAAATTAAATATTTACCTGAGTATTTCCATAATCTTTGAGTCATCATCAGAGATTATAATTGTTATTCGTTTTAAAATAACGCCTGTAATACTGAGCAATTGCCTGAATTCGAGCAACAGGTACACTAGTTGATATGAAATGTATAACAGACAAACTACGCACTACTTTGAAATAGTTTCAAGCTTTAGTATTTATTGAATATTTATAACATCATATAAAATACTGTATGTGCATTACTAACTAAATTTTGCTAACAGTGTTTAAGTACAATATAGTAACAATCCTACTTTCAAGTTGCCATGTTAGAAATATCGTTGGAAATATCCAGTGATGCCCGATCGAGACCCACACATGCCCCGCGCGGTGGCAGAAATGAGTAAATATTTAGCGTTATTCAACTCGCCCTAACTCCTAAGCTAAGGCTCCCACAAAAAAATGCTTCAAGTGAAAAAATTACCTCATTTAATGACCTTGGCATTTATAAAACTTAAAACTCGCCTGACCAAAAAATAAAAAACTTCCTCACAGAGTAACTTTTTCATGTCAAAATCTATAATTATAAAAACATCACATTAGTTATCGTTATATAATTAAAAAATAAATACTTCAGATACTAAAATAGAACTGTTAGTGGAAGAAGGACCTAGGCCTAAACTTCAACTGTGCAAAATTTGAAAATTTTATCTGCACTCTAAGGCACTTAAATCACAGTGTATTCTGTGCGTGTTCAATTAAAAGTTGTTCACTGCAGCGACCCAATTCGAGCCCCTTGACCAATTCAATATGGCGGAACTGGCGACACTAAGCAGTGTGGTATAGCCCCTCTATTTATATTATGTGCTCGTTGGTCTAAACCTGTCGTAGCCTATAGCCTAGCCACAATTTTTTTAATTTGTTAGGCCTAACTTTAGCCTTAGGCCTAATGTTGGTAACAGCTTCATTTGGCTAACTAACGACTCCACTGGCGTTGACACGACAAAAAAAGCAAAGTTAAAACCTGAATATCAAGTTGTTCAAATGGACAAAAGAATGTGAAAAACTGTGGATTTTTCATTTGCCCCAAAACGTAGGCTAGTCCTAGGCCTATACCAGGGTAGGCCTAGCCTATATAACTTATTTTATATTATCATACTGGATAGGCTAAGTTCATATTTCTTACCTGTGACGCACTCATCGAAGTTTGTTTTAAAGACGACATAACCAATGTTGTCAATCACCAAATAAAAGAATAATTATCTTATTTTAACCAGGCCTAACCTACATTCAAACGAAAACTTCTTTAGAGGTGGAGCGCTTGGTTAAACCGTTTTATCTATGGTTATGGTTGGTTAAACTCCTTATGTCTCACTCTCACGCAATCACATACTACACCATGTTAAAATTCGTACATTAGACCATTGAAATTAGTGATGGGAACAACTGATTGAAAACAACCGATTCAATCGATTGTTGGAAAACAACCGACTAGTCGGTTGTTCTCCCGGATATGATTGAAACTAGTCACTTCATACTCCCGGTCCTACGGCGACTGGAACCAGTCAACCAAATCAAATCAAATCAAATCAAAATGTCTTTATTTCGTAAAAGTAATCATTTTTACATTTTTACAAAATACAGTATCAGATTACCATAAGAATATAACTGAGTACTTGGAACTAAACGAAATTAATCCCACATGGGAGAACCCGTGCGTGGGAGTGAGTCATTCTGTACTTTAATATGAAAGAGAAAAAAAAAATTTTTTATACGTAATAAGAAACAAAACAAAATACTTCTATCCACTGGCATGATTCCAAAGCGCTAGCGGAATTTTGGCAAATCACATTGGAACATAGATAAAATGATAACAGGTTGACTCGTTGACTTTCCCCTACCATTAACCCCCCAAAACGCCCCCCTCCCCCCCCCCCAACACACACACACACACACACACTCACACAGACACGCGTGCAAACACAAACACACGCTGTATCAGCTGTATCACCTATTGTCTGTATATGGAAACTAATAATCTATTAGCTCCATCCCTCCCAATGAGTTTTAGCCAGTGAACAATGTGTTTTTTGTACGTTGTAATTGAGTGTCTGTCATAGTCTCGTAAGTCTAGTGGAAGGTTAGAGTAAATGATGTGTGCAACGTAATAGCAATTTGTTGTAGAAAATGTCTTTGTAAGTCTTGGTAAGCGTATGCCGTGGCCTAGTGCATGTCGAGTATTATGGTCATGTTGTGGACGATCAAAGAGTGACTCATGATGTTTGTAAATAAACATCGAAACTGTTCTGATGTATATTTGCGTTAAATCAAGTACATTCATTTCGGTGAACAGAGCATCCGACGAGTATTGCCTACCCTTGCCCAGTGCCGCTTTTATTATTGCCTTTTGTGTCACAACAAGAGGTTGTAGAACATTGCTGTAAGCACAGCCCCAGGCAATTATCCCCCCCTCAAGCAGTGACTGTACATAAGCAAAATATGCATTTTTAATTTCATCTATTTCAAGAAAATGGTGAAGTTGGCGAAAAGCAAAAATTAGTTTTCTTAGCTTTTTGTTTAAGTATGACACGTGATCTGCCCATGACAATTTTGAATCAAACACAACTCCAAGATATTTATAATTTTGAACTCGATTTATTACCGGGCAGGCACAATTGTTTCCGATTTCAAGACCACATGAATGAATTTTGATTTCGTTGCGAAGTGTGTCCCCTCGAGCTCTTAAGGAGATTGGAATAAATTTTGTTTTAATGACATTGAGCGTTAACACATTCTGATCAAACCATTTTTTAATTTTTGACACGCCTCTTTCGGCATTGGCAAAAGCTGAGTCCCAAGTTTCGCCTTGGAATAAAACTAAGGTGTCGTCAGCAAAAAGGTAAAAATCACCTTCAATATTTAATTTCACAAGATTGTTAATGTAAATTAAGAATTGTAAAGGCCCTAACGTGCTACCTTGGACCACCCCAAAGTCTACATTACCAAGATTTCCATTGATTCCATTAATATTTACAAACTGCTTTCTATTATCAAAATAAGATCGGAACCATTGCAGAGCTACACCTTGAACACCTATCAGTTCTAATTTTTTTAAAAGGAGCGATCTATCAACTGAGTCGAAAGCCTTGGCCAAGTCAAAAAATACCAGAATAACACGCCTACCTTTACTGATGGCCAAATTTATATCTTTATTAACTTCGAACAATGCATCTGTGATGTTTTTTGATTTTCTAAAACCAAACTGGTGGTGAGTTAAAATCTCGTGCTGGTTAAGGTAATGAAAAACTTGATCTTTGATAATTTTTTCCAAAATCTTAGTGAACACACTTAGCAAAGAAATTGGCCTAAAATTTGAGATATTGGTGACGTCACCGGACTTGAAGAGGGGAACAACCTTGGCAATTTTGTAGGCGTTGGGGAAAATACCACTTTGGATGCTCTTGTTTGTTATATGTAGCAGTGGTTGTCTAAGTGTCTCCCAGTTGTCTTTGAGTAGTTCAGCTGATACACAATCATACCCTGGAGCTGAGCCACCTCGCAGTCTAGTGACGTAGGTGTAGAGTTCCTGTTCAGTTACAGTGTGAAGTGTGAGTATGGAGTCAACAGCGTGGTCAGTGTCATCGACCACAGGCAAACCGCCCGAATCTATACTTGCTGCCAAGTTGGGACCAACGTTGGCGAAGTACTCATTAAATTCGTCGGCTACCTGTAATCTACAGTCGTTGTCAACATTCAGTCTGTTTCCTGAAAATTGTGTAAGCGGGAAAATGTCCTTTCTATTACCTCTACCAGCTAATTCGTTTAATGTACTCCAGAACGTTTTTGGATTGTTTTTAGAATTTGAAAGTTTTTCCCTAAAATAATTGTATTTAGCTAGTTTTGTATCTTGATTTAACTCATTTTTGATTCTTTGAAATTTTGAAAGCAATTCCATATTAATACCAATCGTTGGAATAACTGGAAACAGTCAAACGTCGGTGATTGAAACTAGTCGTAAGGACCACTGACTGTTGTTTAGACTGACTGGTGTGGAGAATGAAAACGGTTGTAGATAAACTCGTACTATACACGAGTTGTGAACAGTGTTTAGGTAATTAAAATAATGTAATTATGTGTATTTTTTATGTAGATGTTTAATTTATAAGTCACTGTTTTTTTAAGTACTCATGATTTAGATGTACTGTTAAATGACTAATACAGTAATATCTGCTTCAAAAACCATAATCAGGTAATACACAAATAGAAACATTGTTTTTACCTCAGTAAAAGAAATATTCCTATTTGTTTGGTTTGATATAGTAGGACTACTGAATAATTTATAACTTGACCTGTATAAACTAAATGTTATTAAGTAATAATACACATAAAATTTCAAGACAAAACACATCAAATAATGAATCAACAACAAAAGCTCAAACGTTATTTCCTCCGATTATATTCCTTACAATGACATGACTGAAACATGCTGAAACCGTCGCGCCGATTGAATACCAGTTGTAGTGGAATTCACTCGGTTTTTCATTCGACTGAAAAAACCGACTGGTTTTAAAAACAACTGATTGACTAGTCGATTGTTTTTTCCAGTCGGTTGTCCCATCACTAATTGAAATTGTATTGACTCATCCAAACATTACGGTCTCGAAGGGACTATGCCTAGTAGGGTGAAGGGACTTTAGCCATCGTGTCGTTGTACGGTTGCCGCCGTGGTGTCGTGAACGTGAATTAGCGTCTAGCGACTAGCGAGCGACTCGACTTCGACTAGCGAAGCGACTAGCGACTAGCGTAGGCCGATTCTACACGAGCGTGAAAACCGCGACGGGATTCCCGCGTCGGGACCGCGCGCACGACATGAACCATTGCGGTAGATTGGCGTGTCTACACGACTACACGAGCGGGATTCACGTCGCGGAAGGACGCGGCAGTAGGCGGGGGCGCGGTGTTGGTGTTGACGTCGAGGTCGGCGTCAAACCGCGTCGGGAATCCCGCCCAGCCTTTCTACACGTAGCATTGTCACCGCGCGCGGCAGCTCAACTCTGATCTATTATTGTAGGCCTACTACAGTTGCGTTCTAGTGTTAAACATGTTCGACACCGTAATAGTATATTACGTTACTAGTCCTGAAAACAAGTGTTTACCGAACGAGTGTGGTCGTTCCCGTGCGAGACGAAGTCGAGTACGGGATTACCATACGAGTCCGGTAAACACATTTTGCACGAGTTACGTACGATAGTTTACAAATGTTCAAGTAATATCAACGGTGTTTGCATGCTAATAGCAAAATGTAAATTTTAAAATAATTTTATAATTTTAAAATATTTATAATATTAAAACAAAGTTTGTACATAAAATAATACATACTGTATTCTGAAAGCCATTGACATGCATTGAAACATGGCCGGGACATTTTTACTAAGCGATTGACACCATCCGACAAAGCGATTGGGACAACAAATTTCAAGGGTACAACATGTGTTTCAAAGTAAAAAATTCAGGTCTTTAATGTAAGAGGATCGTCGAACTAACCACATAATTCCAACACCGAACTTAGGTTTTAAATTAACATATTATTGTTTTAACATGGTTTGGAGCTAACGAATCATAACATTGTCAATTTAAACCAATCTATATATTAATAGGCAAGCATGTTTCTTTAAAACATTTTTTCTCAACTCGTGTGCATCGCAGAGAAAATCTACGCATACCGTTAGAAAGATATTTTCCTGTAGATGTGCAGAATCCCTTTAAAAATTAAAATAGGCTCAAATATAAGGACAAAAACGAATTTTAAATTTGAAAAAAAAATGAACTGAGCTTTATGGGTTGCCATGCTGGTGACGAAATAACAACGAAATATAAACAGAAAAAAATTGAAGAAATTCCAATCACATGTTTTATTTACAGCGTAGGAAGAAAATAGAGAAGCCTGTACCTTTACATTCCATCCCCATGGAAAAACATGTTTTTTCCTTCCACCATGTTCCATCCCCATGTTAAAGTTGTCACCAGTTATAATACCCCCACCGCCGCAAACCTGCAGACTAAGCGAATTTCAACTTGTCTGATTACATTTTTCTATCATTTTTGTCTGCTACGGGGAAGGTAAAACGTGTTTTTTGACCATAGGTCAATAGTGTAGAATGAAATAAATACATTTGCCAAATTTTATCAACATATATCCATAAACATGTAAACTGCAACAAATTTCATTTTCTCTATAAGAATAACATGGGAATCAAACCTTTCAACCTAGCTCCACCGGTGTCCATCCCGCGTCTGAACCGCCTCGTGTAGAATGGCCCGCCGGGTTTCACGCGACGGTCCCGTCGCGGTTTTCACGCTCGTGTAGAATCAGCCGTAGCGAGCAGCGAGCGGCTGCTTTCAGTGCTTTGCTT